GATGTATGATCTGGTCGGTAGCTGAAGACATACCCTCGATACATAGAGCCATAAACTCTGTTCACTTTGAGCGCCATGATAGAACACAACCTTTACCTAAGAATTAAAAAACCATCCGAGGCGAAGCCCCGGATGTTAAAATCCTGACCATATCGGAATGAGTTGAATGAAGCAAATATAGGGGATTATACCTTTAGATTATCTCAGCGAAACCGAGATTCTGCGTTTTACACCCTTTTTACGCTAAATAGAAGGTCTATGTGAACGTTTCTCCAGAATTCAGGACAACATCTCACACTTAACCACTTTTGACTGAAGTCAAGTTTCGTAAGTTTGAGGAAGCTGTTGGAGTTGAATAAAAACGCGAAACTGCGCTCAAGCCTTGCGCAGAAGCTCGTGAAGCTCGTGCACGGAAATGTCGGTCTATCTCGTTAATGAGATTTCCAACTCTTGGGAGGTTGTCAGTGCTCCTCGTCGTGTCATGACGATCAGAATTATATATAATGTTGTAGGGTTTCGCTGAGACCCCACGGAGATCTACGACCAGAGCCAAATGCCCAGTCGGCTGTGGTCTGTCTCCGCTGCTCGTCTGCGTCTCCGCGCGTTGCGCGCTACTTCGCTACCGCAAGCGGGGCGAGGGGCATTTGGCTCTGGTACCCTTTTTTTCGTTGTTTCAAACCCAATTTTAACAAGCTATATATCATATTGAAGCTTTTGATCTCTACTTTCACGCCGACAACGTCCCAAAGCCGCATTTTTCAATTTCAACGATAAATACGGCAGAAACTTGTTTTCTAAAATTTTTTGTTCTTTCCCTAGTTTAACTCTTCTCACGCGGTTTTTTCATGCATTCTATAGATCTTGTTTTGTTCATAATGCAGACAACGACCCAGTGTATTTAATTAAGGCGGAATTTTTTGTGAAAAGTTATGAAAAGTGCGTTTTTCTCTACCCTGTTCTGTTTCAGTGCTTTCGCAGAAATTTTTTTTCCAGCTTGGACGATTATTGCTTAGAATAGTGAGCGCTACACCATTTAGACGACGTCCCAGAAAACGGGAACCGCAATGCGGGGGGCAAAAATTCAAAGGTTGCACCAAACACTTTGTTGGCTTTGATGCGCATTTTGACTTGGTAAAAGCAAAACCTTCTTGTTTTCAAAACCATTTCTTTTCTTGTTTATCTTTTCTTGATAATCGTTACTCCTTAAACTGGTGTTTTTGAAAGAAACACAAAAAAATCTTTTCCTCGTTTTTCCCCGGGTTGTGGATTACTGGTCCAGGAGCGAAAACCTGCAATGCCGCCAAATGAAAGATTTCAAATTTATTCAGCTTTTTCATCCGATTTTCAAAAGATTGTTATGCTTTTACTAACTTTGCATATTTTTTCTTCTCTGGTTTTATATGAACAACCTTCACTTTTTATGAGGTTAGATAATCAAACAACCTTCACTTTTGAGGCCCTGTCTCTAGACTATCGAAGGTATGGCAGAGGAGCCGTAGGGTCAGCTCGATTCGCCTCAATCTAGTTGGATGACGCAGGTTAATTACGAGCCAATACTGTCTTGAGGCAAAGTCATTGTGATGTGCCACCACTTTGTAAGGATTGTCTTGTTCATTGTAGATCGGAGCTGCACAAGCCCATCATGCTACGCATTTTGATTTAGTCCAGTGCTGCCGAAGGTTCCACCAGCGGAGACTTGAGTTCAATAATGTACTAAATGGTGGAAAAGAGCAGTGTTGAAAGAGTGGGTTGTTTCAAATTTTTGCTTACTCAAACCTATCTGCTTGCTAATATCAAATACTAACATTCCAAAGTGCGCAATGGCATAAAGAATTTTTTTTGTGGACGAATGCATGCACAGCCCTCCCCCCTCCCCACCAAAAAATATAGACGAGAGCTAGTACAGACAGTAAGATCTCAAATGTACCATTACGCGCATTCTACAATACCGCTCGCATTTTTTGAAAAATAGATGCGACATGTAGCATAACTCATGCTACATGTTGCATGAGTGATGCTACATGTCGCATGAGTCGCCTACATATGTGCTATATGTCTGCTATATGTCGCCTACATGCTCAGATAACCGCCGGGGGCAGGCGGTTATCTGAGCCTGTGCTCGACGTAAGCCCGAAACTGCCTAAAAAGAGTCCGAGCGCTTGCTGAAAGTTTGGCCAGCGCTCGCTGAAAGAAATTATTTGCCGAGCGCTTGCAAAAAATCCTGTATTGCTGCCCGCTGGCAGAATATGCGACCGTAAAGGAAGTGCCGCCCGCTGAAGGTTTGGCCACGCCCCAAAATTCTGCTGACCGCCTGCAGAAAAGCGCGAGTTTGCGGACCGCCTGCCCCCGGCGATTATCTGAGTGTATGGACATCACCGTCGCGTGGCCATATCTCTCGCTTCAGAGTGGTCGAATTCTGAATTCAAAGCCACCATTCGATTTGGCTCGGCGCAGAGAATCTTCTGGTATATTGGAAGTGAGAGTACGATATTGTCTTCGATAATCCGTTTCCAGTTTTCTCAAATTCCTCTGCGGAGGTCCCTCCGCAAATATTTGAATCAGCGCCTATCCAACATAGAAGCCTTTACTAAGCACTATTCGATAATACTGTTCTTGTAGGCTAAAAAATAGGCTCAGACTTCTTTCCAAAAGATAGAAGCATTGGTGAAATCTGAAAAAATCACGCGTTTTTAAATTCTACTCGCCATAACTTTCTCCGGAATAAGTATATTTTGAATCCGAAAACAGTGCTGTGCTCAGCTCATCAAGGCGAATCTTTTGATATACAGCATGTCCTTCATATTTCGATTTTATTATTCTTGAATCTTTCTGCGGACGTCTTTTCGCGAAGGGTGTAAAGCAGCGAGCATTGTTCTGAGTAAATTCCAGCAAGGACCTTTCGATAGTACTTTTTCTGTAAATTATGATGCGCTAAATAGTAGTCACAGATTTCTTTTCAAAGGGAACAAGTACTCTGCGTTGATACCACTGCTT